TGCTGAAGTAATGTTCTTTTAGATCAGCTGTTTAACTTACCATCACAGTGTAAAATATCCGAATTTAGTCTCAACTACAGTTTGCACCAGAGTTCAGTTTCAGAGAACTGGCCCATAATAAGTCCCCAATGGCATCTGCTCCTAAAAGCAATTCAGATTCATAGTCTATATTCTTTATTTAGCTTGCCAAATCATACAAGGTAATATTTCTTTCTTTTATTCTTTTAGGGTATTGGGACAACTACTTTTGGAACACATCCACATATTTTGTTCTGATAAAGTACTTCAATTTATGGTCGTAAGTGCCCGCACTCAACGTTCTAAATTAACAGCAAACACTAAATGGGAATGAGGACTTGTCTCGTTTCTCCAAACAACTCGTGTAATAATGTTTGTTTCGATTTAGTACTCATTGCAGAACGCGATAACCTTGGCCTGAACGATAAGATTTCTGGAACCCCTGTCCAAATCGCACGACTGTGAGTTGTCTACTCCGCAATACGATTTTTAAAAAACAATGTTGGCAATACACATTTTCAATACAGTTGCCTGATTAGACAATACGTTACTTAAAATAACAGTACTTTCCGTTTCATTTGGCTTTACAGGTTTGCCATTTGAGCACATAATGGTATTGAAATTTTTCACATGTTAACATTTTACTTTATTTTTGCATGCCCGTGAAACTAGTCCAACTCGTAGGCATGAAACAGGTGCGCTTTTGCCACCAAAAGCTTTCGTTTAATCTTCTAAGACACTTGCGATCAGAAAACCTTCGGCGGAATGGTGGTTTCTCACAAAAAATACAAACGTATTTCGCCTTGAGCATTTTACCAGGCAGCAACTGGCGAGCAACTCGGATCATCACATGGGGACGCGAATTGGCAGAACGTGAAGCGTCCAACCCGTACGAGCGAGCTTAATCTTTTCTCCTTTTGCACTTTCGTTTCGAAGAAAAGACAAAAGTTTTATCCACCGAAACGCGCACTATCTTGGCTTGTGACGCAGTATCTCCATCGAGCGCTTCTTTTTCTTTCCGCACGCGCGAAGAACGGCTCTGGTAAACAGGCCCAACAGTTGGCCCAAAAATTCTGCCATTTTCCCCTTAGTTTCACGAGGCTTTTCAGTGCCCATAAGCTTCTTTCAAGTAAATCATAAAGTTCATCTAAATCTACGTTTAATCCTACATCAGCATTTTCATTACTATGGAAAGTAGATCGCCCTTACATAAATCTGAACCAGAAAGTTCATCTCTCCCACATGCATTCTTTCAGTTTTGTGCAATCACCTTTTGATATTTCTTTAGTTGGCGGAAAACTGGTTAACCAGCCCCCTTGATGCGTTAGAATCTGCTACCACACATTGTAAAAAAGATTTTGAGATTTGTCTTCGGTCACATGGATAGGTTAGTGGTGAATTTTTTCAAACTGGGACCAAAAAGCAAGACGTCTGTCGGTTTCTTCTCCCTAAATTTTTCCCCTCATTCAAGTTTCGGAAGCTTGAATTTCCTTTTTTTGCGCGGTTGTTTGTTCTTCCGTAACCGAATTGCCTTCTTTTGGCATTTTCTAACAGCACAAATTAAGGCATACTGTCACGGTATTCTTTTCTGCTTTCAAACAATCTTCCGAATATTCGTCGTGAAGGGCATCATCACTCAGCAACAATGCGAAACGTCGTCTGAGTTGTTTCCAAAAACGTGTAATTTGTCTTGAATCTGGCCGAAACAACGTACTGACTTCGTCCCTTCCTAACTTTTGTTTTTCGATCTTCTGAGCTATATCGTTTGCAGCATACCGTAAATGCTGTCTCAGCGACTCGTTTCGCTTTCAGACGTTTATATCCAACTTTCATCAAAAGTAGCGGACCTCCAAATTTACGATGTTGGCCACTCTCAGGGGCTACACGTGCGGTGCAAATTAAATATCACAAAGCAGGGATTTATTATATAAAAGATTTAATATGGCTATCTCACACCACGCTGAAAAGCTTTACATTACTCTAAGAACGGCTTGGTGAAAAGGCAGTTTCCCCTCTTAGTTCGCAGTTGAAAGAAAAAAATATAATATAAAAATAGAGTCTCATCAAGCGGAGCTAGAGAGCTTAGGTCGACAGACGGAGCTCCTTATGTGGTCGACCCTTCGCCGACCGTTACGTATCGTCTGTCTGCGCATGCCGTCTCCGACAAATTGTTTTTCCCAACATCACCTTTGAGAAGATGGCAGGTGATAGATGATTAAATTGAAATAAAAAAATTATTAATTCTCTAAGGTGTAATCGTGTGGTAGATTCTCTTATTATCAATACACGTTGTCGTGTGTCGTCGTGAAAACATTTTAACATCTCGGGTTGACTGATTTCTTTCGAATGCGAAGCAGCAGTTTCTTAACTAAACTCAATTCTAAGAGTTCAATGAAAATTTTTTTGTCGTATTGCGGTAAATTTGATTTAAGTACTGTTAAATATTTACTAAGCATTTTGATTAGGTAAATTTTATAAGAAGGTATTAATTCTCTTCTATAAACCATTGTATTTTTTACAATTTTTTTATGTGATGATAAGTTTTAAATCTTAAATGATGGATAATTTAAATATAAACAGTAGTTTTGTTCTTTGTTCGTTTCCCACATTTTATTTTTTTCATGAGTGCTTTTGCAAAACATCTGAAGAGAAAATATAACTTAATTTGTATGTAAATCTATTATTAGGCATTCTTCAGTTGGAATCTTAGTAGCTAAACAGAGATGCAAAATGTGGGAAATTGATTCAAATTAGCGGCAGAGTATTTAATATTTACCTCCTTGGAAATTTAAAATGTATTTTAGGCAGAATATTTAATGTTTACCTTCCTTCAAATATAAAATATGTTGTAGAAATTTTCGTTGATGTATCCTTTTTTGATAGATTTCTAATACTTATTTTATTTACATTTTGCTACTGCAGTTTGTGTTTCATTAAATATTATTATATGGTTTTAAACTTTTAGCAACATTTTTATTTATTATGCATTTAACGATTAGTATATTTTCTTTCTTCTTTCTTTTTTTCGGTTATTTGAGGTTCTCAAAATTTGAATTTTTTTAAAAGTAATTTAAGAATCTATTTTTTATTTCTTAGGATTGCAATGTGGCTAATGATAGACATGCAATCTTAAATTTAACGTAGACCTAAGATGTGCTACTAAAATAATAAATTTTCAGGAAATCTTAAATGATGCTCTTTTTTCATAATCATTATTGAAATTTTATTTCTGTATCAGAGTTTTAAAAATGCTTTTAAAGATAGAAAATATGACCACCACATCAAGCAAGGAAAAGTTTTCTAGATTTTGTGAAGATTAAGAATCATTAAATAACTAACAATGAGTTAAGAAAATTTAAAAAGAATGAAACATATTATGAAGGAAATAAAATTAAGCGTTATTTTGTTTTTTATTCTTTTTTAAAGTAGTAGTTGCTTGCTTTTGAAACTGAAAATATCAAACAAAATTTATCATTAAGTTAATGTAATTTACTAAGAATTACTAAACGTTTTGCTTAAAAATGAATGCAAGTCTAAGCTTAAATTTTGCTTGCTTTAAAAATAAAATTAAAAAAAAAGTATTTTATGAAAAAATGCGTTTGATTTACAAATGAAAAGAATTGTATAATTAAGCTATATGTTAATTAAGTTATATGTTAGTAAAGTTCTTTTCAGTAATAGCAGGATTTTTTAGTGCTTATTTCTATGTCTCATTAAATTCAGGAAGTGTACTGGCATGAGCAATTAAACACAATAATTTAAGTTACAGCTATAACTGGAGAGAATTTTAAGATAAATATAATTCTGTAGTGTTGTTTAACCCTGCATTAGTGGATACATTTTTTCTTGCACAATTAGGTGAATGGGTGACAGGTGTCACCCACCTATTAAAGTTTATCTAGAATAAGGAAAATCATTTTTAAATGATGATTCTATCAGTTATTTGACAAAGTGTTAATTACAGGTCACAATTTTGATCGTGCACAGTATTCTACTGAATTGCAAACTTGCGACAAATATTACTGGAGGACAGCTGTCAATCACATGCTTAATCTAGGATTACACTCTTATCTATCGTATTAAATTGCAAACAAAATATTTAGTTCTTTATGACAAATTAAAACTTTATTTCATGTACTAGGTAATGGTCATATTACATTTTGGTACTTTTCCATTTCGCCGGTGCAAATCTCGCCAAGCAATCTCGCCAAGCAGACTTATTGGCGACACATACAGTATACACACTAAATATTAACAATGTTTAGTTTTAAGAATGTTTTATTTTGAAGGCATAAAACATTTTTAATTCGTTTAAAAATTTTTTAAAAGTCAATAACGAAGACAATAAATTGTAAAAAGACATTAATTTAAGAATTTACTATGATTTCATGTTCACATCCTGATTCGCCGGTTTCGTAATCACGTGACCCCCAAGCGATCTCATCTCACGTAAACTGCGCTACAAAACTCTAATTCCTTTAATTATCCACATATTTCAAGTTAAATCTTAATGTGGAATACAAGTTTAAATGCAAGAATTATTTCAATTCCGTACGAATCTTCCTCAAAATTATGTAAAACCACCGTGCTTTTACTTTGCTATGCATTCTCATTTAGAATTGATAAATTTAACACCCCGTGACTGTTCGTTACTTTTCGCCTTCGGGTAGGATGTATTGCATCCTAATTGACTTAATTGCCGCGCAGGGCCTCAAATTCCGCCTAGGTATAAAATTGAACTATCTGGTAAAAATTCTATGTAATTGCAATCCAGTAGTGAAGAAACAATCAATCTGATAAGAAATGGCTGCTTGCGACTTGTTTTGAAAATAAGCGTAAACGGTTACCATGCCAAGATATTCCGTTTGGCATCAGTTGTACCATTATTGGCGACTTTTATCATCTGCGCCGGCAAAACGGAAAAGTACCATATTTCATGTACTAGGTAATGGTCATATTACATTTTTAATGTATGTCTAGTTGGCCATTGAAATATATATAAAATTTGGGAGAACGTATATTTGACTATGTATTCTCCTTAACAGCACTAAAAATATAGATAAAAAAGAAACTGAAAGCTGAAATGCTGGCTGTATAATAAAATTGTTTATTAAAACATTCTCAGTCTTAATTCTCTTGCCACAAAAATCTAAAATTATCACTTATCTGCTTTTTCATTAGCAAAATTCTTTCCTGTTTTGTGTCTATCAGTGGCCAAGTGGCTAAAACCACTAAACTGGTTCATTCTGAGTTTCTAGTTTCCAGAAGTAGGCTGGATTCATAAATTTTTGTAGATTTCCTTTTATGTAATACAAATGCGAGTTTATTTTCTTAAAATATCCTAAGTGATTTTTTTTTTTTTTTTTTTTTTTTTTTGTGTGTATGTTTGCTTTTGTTTTTAACTTTTTTAGACTTTATTGTAATTAAACGAATCAACCATTTAACTTTTTGCTAACAGTGCAGTTTTCTTTGCATTCCTTTTTCAGGGTTTTGTGGTCCTTAATTTTTTGGAATAATTTTTGGGCCTAAATGTCCTTAATTTGGCCAAAATTTGACAGAAGGTCCCTAATTTTAATCAATCAAACTGTCTTTTTAACGACTGCCATTTCGAGTGTGAATTATCATTTTGGAGGAATCTTTTTACTGACACATATGGTTTATCTTTTTGAATGGTTTTAATATGGTTAAATTTTGCTTCCATTTCTAATATAAATGGGGGGTATTAGAAGTTTTTAACAAGACGTGAACATAACATTTCGGAATTCAGTTTTTCTAATGAGTGCTCTTAAAAGCAACTTTTTCGCTTTAATTAAATAAAAAAACGATTCTGAATTTGACGTCTTATCAACATTTGGTGATTTATAATTTTTTTTGGCAATAATAGTTGAATGCATTTATTTCTGATACTAGCATCTTTTTCTAACATGTTACTTCCCGTTATTTTGCCTCTAAGTTCATAGACACAAGTAGGAAAAAGATCAAAAATCAAAAATGCTAAATCTTATCACATGGGCAACTACTAGAAGAATTTTTTTAGTACAAAAAATTGAAAATGTAGAATTTAAAAGATCTCTAATATGTCTTAATGCATCATAACCCCAAGCTAGCACAGGCCTTTTTTCCTCCTGATGCAATCTCTTTGCATCCTTTCCGCGCTTTAGTGCTTTTCTAAATTCTGCTTTCCATGTCTGCTCTAATTCTGAAAGTTCGGCATTTTAGATTTGTTGCTCGGTGTGTCCTTAAATCTAAAAATTCTGCCACACCAGCTGCATAACTGCCTTACTAATATCTATTCATATCTCTTCTGAATGTTCAGATTACTAAATGAAATACCATTAGCCCTCTTTTTCTATACATTCTAATTGCCATTTTTTTTTAAAAATTTTTATTTAGAATAACAGAAATCCTTTACTTAAATCCAAAAATTCTAAAAATGAAAGGAAACCTGTTGAAGAAAGAAACTGAATACATGAAGAAAATTATTCTTCAAAGATAGGTACACTTCTATGTAAATTTATCCAGTTATTTATGATTTCAAAAAACCTTTGCTATAATTTCCCCTTTCCTATTTCTCATATGAGCAGAAGTACGTGAGGGGGGCGAGCTAAGTAAATTAGATAATTTTTGACAGCTTAGTCAAATTTTTAGTTTGATTTGACTGTTTTTTGTTGAATATAATTTCACTATGAGCTGTAATTGATTTTCTTAGCATCAAACATGCCTTTATGTTCCAAGTTCTTTTTTAAATGAGGTTTTTAATTTAAGGCTGTGCCCAATTTATAAATTTCAGACATAGCAATTATTCTTACTTCACGTCTCTCAGACGTCCGTCAGATTAAATAACCCCCTCAATAGAAAATATATTCCGGAGAGGTTGAAAAGTTATGCAGATAAAGTTGCAAAAACTATCGGAATGGTTTTGGGTATTGAGACCAAATTTCTTATTGTTAGAAAAGATGCTTAAAGAGAAGTAATCATAAAAATTATCAAAATGTCTGGGAAAGCTTCAAATTAAAATGAACGCAATAAATATTTGTGATGTTTTTGTTAGACGACATAAATATTCGGTAGCTATGTGTAAATTATCCTAATATTGCTTAAAGAATCAATGTCATAATTATATTATTTTAACTGTGAAAATTTTATTAGATTTTGTTTTTATTATGGCTTTTTTAAATAAATATTGTTCAGAAAGAAATAAAATTTATAATGATGCACGAACCGTAATGATGAAGGTATCTGACTACCGTAATTTAATTATTAATAAAACTACTTACTCTAAAAATCATCTCTTCGTATTAAACGAGTTTATTGCCATTTCATTAATCCTCACTGGGGGCACAAGATAAAACACAGAAATTTCAATAAAACTTATTCTTTCCATCTATTGAGAATTAAAATAATACAACAGACAACTTCACCTCTGTGAAACCTTAGAAGTATATTAACTTTGTGACAACCCGTGAACTTACACGAAGCTAT